ACTGAAACTGTCTTGCGCCAGCCGCTGCTGGGTGATGACACGTGGTCGTTCATGGGCTACGTGGCGCTGCACGAGTGGGTCAATGGCTACCGAGAGGTCGTTTCGTTCCAAGGCGACGTCGCCACGTTCAACTTGATGTCGGAGCGCATCGAGCCGATTCCATTTCGCGCCAAAACGATCGAAGTACCCAAAAGCACGTGCAACTACCTCTACGTGGTCGCCATCGTCACGTCGGTGGCGCTGGTCGGCGTGGCCTGTATCACGGCAGCATATACTCTCATCCGGCCGTCCCGCAGCGCGGATGGTTTGCACTTGCTACTCTACAACCGCGTTGTCGGGCCTGTCTGGGTCGGTCGACCGCTATTGCTGCTTCGTGCGTCCGCCGCCATCACCATGCTCAGCACAGCACCACTCGCTTTTGTCAACGAGCATGGCGTAGCTCGCTTTCATTTTAGTTCTCGTCTGTTGACGCACATTGGGATTCTCGCAGGGGAAGCCACGTGGGTAACGTACGTCCTCAACGACATTTTGCTGGTCGTTGCCAACCAGTATTCGCAGTGGGCAGCGCCCCTCAGCACCTGGCTGGTCTGGTTCAGTCTCGTCGTGCTCGAGGTCTTGTACCCGATTCGAGCCACCGCTGCGATCGACCGTCATTGCACGCGTTTCAATGTGGATGCTGTCGTGACATGCCGCAGTGGCGTCGTGAACCTTGGGTCCCTTGACCGCGCCTCGCTCATTTTGGTCCTCAATTTCGTTGCCGTCGGCTTCGCCTACAGCGTCGTGTGCATCTTTCGGTCGTTGCAGCGAGTTGCTCCCGCGACGTCGGGGGGCCACGCCAAGCTCACGCATCTGGTGTCGGCAGGTGCTGAGGTATTTTTGGCGCCAAAAGAGTCGGATATGTGGAGCTTGGATGCGTCGTCGGCGGCCATGAGCGGCTTTCTCCGCTTCCGCTTTCAGACCCTCCGGTGCATTTTTGATACAAAACTGTGGCTCTTCTTCTTCGCGAGCAAGGGACCCGACCTTTTCCGAGCTCCCATTGGTCCGACCGAGACGACATCACGGAGAGCAAGCTTTAAAACAGACCCGACCTCGGTGTTTGCAAAACTCAAGGTCTATAGTGGTCTCATTTACCTCGCTGCGACAGCGGTGGGTAGTATTTCGTATCTTCGGCTTTCGACTGTGAATTTGGCCAACGATCTTTGGTGGGCCACGTACAACACCACGGGGACGCAGACCTTTCTGTCCAACTGGTTCAACCGATACCTGTTCTTCAACGCTTCTCAGCCGTCGACGCGCCTCGATCTCCCCGTCTTTGCCGACATGACTGACTATTCAGCTTCAAGTACGCTCGTCACGTATGCACCGACGTATGCAAGATTCGTCCAGTACGAGACGGGTAGCGACCTTTTCATGATGATTCAAGGTCTTCGCTCCATGGACGCCTGCAACGCGCCGTGGATCGCTACCAGTTATTGCTGGCTCGACTTTGATCGGCAGGTCGAGATGGCCAACACACTTGGTCGTCAAGCGCGATGTGACGCCAAGTATCATAGTAATGGTGCTGTCTACTTGGAGTCGATTCTCAGAAATGTCGACTGGCCCACGTTTGAGTCGTGCTGGGGCACCTCGTTTGAGATTGGGGTTGCAAAAGACATTGGCTCTCTCAAGCCCAACGGCGCTGCGTGGCTCACTTCTCTTGTCAGTGGCTCCCGCCTCTCTGTGGTCGATGAAGCCAAAGTGTGGCAGTCCAAGGGTCTCACGACGTATACGACGCAATGGCAAAACTACAAGGCACTCGGCCTCCATGACGTTTTCTCAATTGAGAACGCTTTTGGTTTGAGATACGACATGACACTTCAGTCCAAAAACGGTTCGTACCACCCTTCCATGTCGACGTCGTGGAAGGCGTACTGGACGTTTGCGAGTGATCTCTGGGCGATCGCAACCAATGGTTCTGGGATCGCTGGGAGGTCGCTCTTACGGCCAAGTCCCCACTTTGCCTTTGCCAATACCTCGCTGCAGTCTCTTATGGTCTTGAATTCGACATTGCAGTTACCGCTCGGCGAAGTGCTCGATGCTTTTCACGACGATGTCGGGGTGTTTGGTGCGGTTGATGTCTTCCACGTACCGTACCCTGCGTCGCTCAGTCGGCTGCAGCGCGCGATTACGAGCGAGCTCACGACGCTCCTTGCCAAGAACACGGACGAAATGGCAGCCAGTCGCGCCCAAGCCGACTTTGGAAGCATGATCTTGATGAGCTCGCTGAGTCCCGTGCCAAAGTACTTAGATCGAACCACGTACCTCTGTTCAGGCGGCAACCTCTTTTGCCCTGAAGTGCCCACCGCATTTAACTTTTCCATTGGCATGTCGCAGTTCACCGGTGTCGACACGACGTGCTACAACAGCTTCAACGACTGGGTCTATGTGACCCCCGTCCAAATGGTGTTTGCTGTGATCGCATCGGGCATCGCACTCGACCCGACGACGTTGATTCCGGTGGCATGCGCGTCAGAGGTCATTGCGCCATCCCAGTGCCTCGTTGTTCTCGAGAGCGTCTCCACCTTTGTGTCGACGCACTTTGCACCGAGCGTGCTCGAGCAGTACCGCGTCGAGGCGGTCGCGGTCGAAGCCGACGTCATTGGCGCCTCCGTAGGGTTCATGCAGTACGCCCGGCACGTGCCGACCAACCGCGTTGAGCTCTTCCACCAAGTGCTCTTCGATCCGTCCGATGCGACAATGCACTTTTCCAACTGGGGCTTGGCGTACGAGTGGACTGTCGGGTCTCGCGAAGTCATTCGCGTCGACGGTGACGTGAGCTCCCTCGCAGTCTTTTCGACCATCTCCTTTGCGGCGAGCTTTGCCGCCAGCGGTATCGAAATGCCGCTCAACGTCGCCACGTACCTCCGAGGACTCTGCCAGTACATCTCGTTCGTTCTAGCTGCCATTGCGTTGATCGCGGGACTCTACACGCTAGCAAATGGCTGCACGAGCGAGGGCCTCAACCTCTTTGAAGTCAACCGCGTTGGCGGCTTGACCTGGATCGGTCGCCCGCTGCTCTTTGTCCGGAGTGTCACAGCACTCTGCATTCTCAGCACCGCCACGCTTCAGCTCCAAAAGACTGGGATCATGACGCAACTGACGGCGTCCAGAGACGACGTGGAGCCATTCATTGCGTACATCACCAAGATCCTCGCAGCGAGCGAGCTCGGCTGGCTTGTCTACATCTTTGACGACCTGTGCATGGCGTGGACACGGCAGTACAGTGCGAGCTACACGCCCAAGACAGCGATGACGGCGTGGCTGATTGCGATCGTCCTGAGTTTTACGAGCCCTGTCTCCCACAGCGCAACGATCCAGCGGTCGTGCTCTCTGGGTGAAATGGATTTTGAAATGGTATGCCACAGCGGTGTCGTTGCCATTGGATCCGTCTCTCGCCTGCTCTTGCTCGTCGGTATCGCGCTCGGCGGCTCGACGCTTCTCTACATCACAGATCGCCTCTGGCACACGCTGCCGCCGCTGGACGAGCGCGACTCGTTCTTGGTGACTTGCAGTGCCAAGTACCTCTTTGAGAGAAAAGGTTGGGTCCACGACCGAATCTACTTCATCGACTTTGCGTCCGCGGCTTTGACTGGTCTCCTTGTTTGCTGGTACAAGGGCGACCTCTATGTCTTTGACATCAAAACGTGGCGCACGCTCGTGCTGCATCGCAGTGACCTTCAAGCTGCCACAGCGTCGCACCCGTCGGCGGCGCACCTCGCCCGCGCCCTCCCGCTCATCCGGTAGCTAGCTAGGCTGCATGCCACATGTACATACATGCATCTTTCATCCGACAATGTCCCTCGAAGCGACATGTGTGCTACCGCAAGAACACTAGAGTACAGTCGCTGCTTGGGCCTTATCTGATGGCTGTCATGACGCCGACAGCAGCGGTGGCGATTCTCCCAGTAGCGTCGGGCTCGGGTCTACAAGGTACTCGACAACATCGGCCATGGTCGGTCGACTCGACGGGTCTTCGTGGAGGCAGAGCGCGATCACTTGCTGGAATTGCCCGCGGTAAAACGTGAGCGCGTGCCGCAGCCCAACGAGCTGCGCGACTGGCATCGCCTTGTCCTGGAACGAGAGGCACTTGCGCGTCAAGTACGTCTTCGCGCTCTCGCCCACGTCGATCTCGGCCAAGAGCACGCCGAACGCGTAGACGTCGGCGGCCGGCGACGCAAAGCGCACGCGGCGCGCAGTCACTTCGTCGTCGTCGCTCGTCGGCGTCGCCTTGGACTCGAGGAGCACCTCGGGCGCCACGTACAGCGCGTCCGTCGAGTGCGCTGCATACACGTGGCTTGCGAGCACATCGAGCGGGTTGAGGTAGACATCCCCAATGCTATCCACGAGCACCGTGTCGGCCGTGAGATGCCCGTGCACAATATGAGCGCTGTGCAAGTACGCCAGGGCGCACGCGAGGTCGAGTGCCATCTTGGCCTTCCCCGCCGCGGACGACGACCGCGCGTACAGGAGCGGGCCGTTGTCGGAGCAGTCGTCGATCACGACAGCGAGCGACGACGGCGACACGACAACGATGCCCCGAAGCTGCGCAACGTGCGGGTGCGACAGCTTGGCGAGGTCGACGATGGTCCGCGCCATGCTCACGAGGTACGACTCGTACCCCGAGATTTGCTTGAGCTGGATGCGGCCATCGTCGGGGACGTACACGCCTTGGGCGACATAAATGTGGGGTCCTTGGTGGTACAAAATCAACGTTTCGAGGATGTCGCTTGCGTCGAGAAGGGCTAGCGAAGGTGCCTGCCGGAGGACGCTTTCGACGGTGCCGTCGCCCGAGTACAAAGAACGCGACGGCGGCGGCTGCGTCAAGAGCCGGACGTGTCGGTGCGACGACGGCTGCTGCGACGACGTGTCGAGGAGGCTGTCGATTGCAACGTCGTTGCGCGTCTTGGGGGCTTTGGTCGGCGTCCGCTTGCTGCGGTAGCGCATGACGAGGCCATACAGCGTCGTCAGCGTCATCGAGATCAAGATGATCCACGCGCTGACTTCATTCGACATGTTGTCATCGACTGGTGTTCGGGGCCTCGGGCCTATCGACGCATATGAGACAGGACTTCGACCTCGGGAGTAAGTACGGTAGACGCAAATGCTCGTATCGTGCAGACAGAGCTTGTGGGCATAGTAGGGGCACGGCAGCGTCAAGTCGTCCAAGGCGAGCGACGGTATCGCTCGGAGCGACAAGAACGTCTTGATCGAGACGGGCGTCAGCTCGAAGTTCGTGTGCCGGAAGCTCAGCGACGTCAAGTGAAAGTGTCGAATGCTCTTGCTCAAGGTCGCCGCGTCGAGAAGTGTCACGTTCTCGACTGTACTAGAACGGTACGTCGTCGGTGAATAGGGTTGGAACAAGTAGAAGAATGTCCTACAGTGTTTGCAGCGACGAGCGAAACCCCGAGACGTTGAGCCAAGAGAGGTTGACGTCAACGGCCATGCTCGATCGAATGGTTCTGTGTTCTCGTATCAGCAGGCGCTACAATACACTGTACGTACAGTGTTTGGAGGGTCGACAGCGATGACGGCAAAGTGAAATTGCCCATCGCGCAGTCGGTGAGTGATCTAGTCGACTAGAGATAAGCCAAAAACCCAAATTCGACCAAACGACGCACAGCGTAGTCAAGTTTTGTGGCAGCCCAAACGAGCGCGTCTGCGTCATGAGCGGCGTCACATTGAGCGACTGCAAGTACCTACAAGAGATAGATAAGTGCAAAGATGCGAATGGCACGACGACGGTACAAGGTGGAGAGACGGGCTAGACCGCTCACGTCAAGCGCAGGGACGCGCGTCGAGCTCGCCGCACTTGCTGCTCCGGAAAAGATGCTAGGCATGGCAGTGTGTTGTTAGCAGTCGCTCAGCGCATGATGGTGCGTACATGGTGGTCGGCCCCGTGCTGCTGTTCTCGGTGGCGCTAAAGTTGACGCGAAGCGGCGCGCCCGGCGGCCACATGGCCGTGTTGAAGGTCCACGTCGTCCCTTCGTCGTTTTTGAACCGGTCGATGCATTGGCTGCACGAGCTGTTGTTGCACGAGTACGCCCCGAGCGCGAGGTTGGTGTACGATACGCTCGGCGAGGACCGAATGCAGACAGTGCTGCTCATTCCCGAGCAGGCGTCGCAGGGCGAGACGAGCCAGAGGTCGTTCGACGCTGCTTGGCTTCGCCGAGACGGCGCAAGTCGTCGGCGCAGTCCATGTGGCGTGAGGCCAGTCGCCATGAAGCCGGCGTCCGTGATCTGGTGCGACCTGCTCTCTGCATGTCCCCGGTGGGTCCAGCTGATTTAATTTTAACCAATGGCATCGGCCAAGATGGCACAAACTACGCGCATTGGTCAATAAGAATATATTCCCAGCCAATCCCCTATCACTGTATGCAATTGGTAATGAAGGAATACCTCCCTGCACCAAGGTGTAGACATACGGAAAGTTCCTTCAGCACAGTGGTAGTAGCGTTGCTTTAAAGGCATTTTCCTTAAGCGCAGCACACTGGCAGCGCGCCACGTCTTCATTTTGCACTTTTGGCTCATCGACAGCGCCCGAGTTTTCCAACAAAATATGATTATAAACAGCAATATATGCTTAGATATCTAGCTGGCAGCGCCCGGACAGCCTTGGTTTGGGATGGCCTTGGTCGACCGGTCGCGCTTGGTCGTCGTGTCGTACCTGGATCTCGTCGACTTGGCGCTCGCAAAATGCAGCCAAGAGAAGTGCGCAGCGAGACGGTTCTTGGTCTTGATTTTGCGTCGGCGACGGTTGAACTTCATGACGCTGAACCGAAAGATGGAGGCGTACTCTTCCTTCGAGATCGTTTGCACGTGCTTGGCCACGCAATGATAGTAGGCCGAGCTCAAGAGTACGAGAAGCGCAAGTGCGCCAACAGCGACGCCGTCGTCGCCTTGAAAGCCGCCAATGATCGAGATCGCAAGGAGAAGGTAAATGAAACACGCAAAGTAGGCGCCCCAGATCCCAAACGGGCTCTGGAACCCGACCGAGTCCGTCTTGTAGATGGTCCGGAGCATGACAAAGCCGGTGATTTGCCCCAAGTAGCAAAAGCTCGCGGCGAGAATGCTAATGTTTTGCAGCGACGCGTCGAGCGCGGGTACGAAGAGCGAGAGGAGGCAGATCACATACCCGGCACTCGACGTAACAATCATGGCTTTGAGCGTCGACGTCTGCCCGAGGAGCCCGAGCCAGTTAGGGAGCAAGTGGGAGTCGGCCAAGGCTTGGGCAAGGCGTGCGTACGGCAAGACAAAGCCAAACGCCATGCCAAACTGCGCTGGGAGCATGAGCCACTTGCCACCCATGTCGGAGAGGCCAAGACCAAGTGCAAAGCCGGGATTGAGCGGGTACGACGGGTTCTCGGCGGCGGCGACGAGGCCCGGGGCGACCGCCGGCACAACAAACACCAGTCCGACGTTGAGAAGAAAATTGGTCGCAACGGTGGCGAAAATACCTCGTGGCATCGTCACGAGCGGGTCGATCGTCAGGTCGGTCACGAGGGTGAGCGACTCGATGCCTGCGTACGCCCACGTCGTCAAGGGCGCCCACGCAAAGTACGCGCTGCTGAGATCGCCGGTTGCCCATGCCGACGCCGAGGTATCAGTCTGCAGCTTCCCGTTGGTCGCAAGGTCGGCAAAAGGACAGGCCGCGAGGATGTAGAGCAGCAGTGGGAGGCCGCAGACAAACCCAAAGACTGTCATAGACGGCCAGAGGTACCGTCCGGGGAGCTGGTAGAAACCAATCGAAACGACGTAGCAAGTGAGGTGCACGAGCGGCTGGTACGTCCACGGCATACCGAGCTCGTCCGTGCAAAAGTTGCCGATAAACACAAACGAGACGGCCGCGTACGTAATGTACTCGATGAGCTCGAGGATCCCGATGAGGTAGCCGCAGTAAAAGCCGAGCGTGACGCGCGAGAGACCGTACGAGCCGCCAGAGAAGGCGATCTTGCCGCAAACCTCGGCGGCGCACGCCATGTAAATCACAAACGCGAGTCCCATCACGAGCTGCGAGATCATGATTGGTAGAAATCCCGTCGCGTAGGCCGCGGTCCACCCGTAGTACTGGCCGCCGGCGACAATGACGACTCCAAACGCCCAAATTTGAACCCAATTTGCCTTGTCTTTCACGTCAAGCTCGGCAATGTACCCGTCTTGAACGGTGTGCGTCGACGACGACTCGCCGGTCGTTGACTGGGTCGTCGAGGCGCGCCACCCGTCTGTCGTCACAGGCACCACGCAGCTCGGCATGGGTCTTTGTGTATGCAAAAGCGCAACTAGCTACGACCACCGTTGCTGAGCGCGGTGGTTGGCGTTAGGCGTTACGCCCTAACCCTCGAGAAGTGAGGCAGAGAACGACCGATTCCCTCGACAACGGCGGGGCGTGGGCGTTAAAGCTTCGAGCACATACTCGCAAACACACGTACCTCGTCGTATAGGATGAGGGGTTGTGGCAGCTGCATCGTGTTTGTACATGGGAAACAGCTCCGCTGCGACGTCCAAGCCTTGAGTGATCGATGGTGGATCGTGCCCACGCCGGAGATCGGGTCGGTTCCTGCGCGACCATTCCATTTTCTGTTGACGTCATCGGCCACGGTGAGAATTGGCTCAGCCGCAAGCGTTGGCCACTGCACACAACGGCCGTCGATCGACGTTTGCTCACCGAATGCCAGTGCATGGGGCACCACCGTCCAGGAAGACCACCACGTCGGAGTTCCTTAGCTCGAAGGCAGACTTGCGACTAGAGTTGACAACCAGATTGGGTTGGCGGTGGCGGAGTTGCCTCTGATCGTACCTTGGAAGGCAGTGCCTGACAAAACTGCACCAAATCAAAGTAACTAACTTGCTGATATACGCGTTCCAGCTCAGTGAATATACGTATTTATACATGGGTCTTTGCACTAACTCGTTTCGATGCTCATGCCTTGGCCGCCTGCACCGCGATCGACTTGATGCTACTGCCACGAGTCGCGCCGCCTAGCCCGAATGTGCGGCCGCTGCCACCATGGCCGTTGGAGCACCCGTTGGGTTTGGGGCCGTTCGCCGAGAGATGGGTGTTTTTAGACGCTCCGTGTTTGGTGCCGCCATTTGTTGTCTTCTTTTTCCGTGCTGCGTTGAACTTCATGACGCTAAAGCGGAAAATCGAGCTGTACTCGTCTTTCGAGATGGACTGGATCTTCTTGCACACAAAATGATAATAGAGCGAGAGCACCATCAAAAATGCGATGAGTGAGCCAAGGGCGACGCCGTTGTCGTCTTGAAAGCCGCCGATGATCGAGATGCCCAAGAGGCTGTAAATCACACACGCGTAGACGGCCCCGGGCATTCCAAACGGAGAGACGTACCCTGTTGTCTCGGTGCGGTACCGCGTCCGGAGCATGACAAAGCCGCCGATCTGCGCGCCGTAGCAGAGCACCGCCGCCAGAATCGAAATGTTTTGAAGCGCACTTAGAAACAGAGGACTGTAGAACGAGACGAGGCAGATGAGGTACCCGCTGGTCGACGTCAGCACCAGCGCCCGGCGCGGCGTCGACTGGCCCTTGATTCCGAGACGCAGCGGCAGCAAGTTGGAGTCGGCGAGCGCCTGCGCCAGTCGTGCGCATGGCATCATGAAGCCAAACGCCATGCCAAATTGACCGGGCATGATGAGCCACGACGCCCCGTGCGCCGACATGTGCAGACCGAGCTCGAACCCAGTGTTGAGCGGGAACTGGGCACTTGCCGTGGCCGCGAGACCAGGTGGCAGCGCCGAGACGATGCACACCAGCGCCACGTTGAACACGAAGAGCGTGTAGGTGGCGGCCATCAAGCCCTTGGGCATCGACGTCTTGGCATCTTTTGTGACGCTCGTCACCAGTGTGAGGCACTCGACCCCGGCGTACGCCCACGTGGTATAAGGCAGCCACGCAAAGTAGGCAGCGCCGAGGTCGCCGGTGACCCACACCTCTTGTTCGGACGCGTTGCCGATTTGGAGCGGTCCATATGTTGCAAAGTCAGTATGCCCAATCGAGGCGACGCAATAGACGAGGGGTGGCACCACACACGCTGCGGCAAGGACGAGACAAAAGCGCCAAAAATGTTTGCCGCGGAGCAAGATCAGGCTCGTCGTCACCGCGTAGTAGATAGCCCAGAGCAGCGGCTCCCACGCCTTCTCCACGCCGTACGTTGTCGTCATAAAGTCCGACATGAAGAGCACCGAGACCGACGTGTACGTGACGTACTCGAGGAGCTCTAAAAAGCCGACGAGGAAGCCGGTGTAGAAGCCGAGCGTGACGCGCGCGAGGCCGTACGCGCCGCCGGAAAACTGAATTTTGCCGCAGACTTCAGAAGCACACGCCATGTACGCAATGAAGGCGAGGCCCATGAGCACTTGCGACACAAAGTAGGGTACAAAGCCGGTACTTAGCGCTTCGTTCCAGCCGTAAAACTGACCGCCAATGACAGTGAGGACGCCAAGGGCCCAGATATGGCACATCGATGCTTTGTCGGCGACGTCAACCTCGATGGCAGCCGTAGCGTCGACACGACAGTCGAGTGTCGTCTTGGCACTGGTCGACGGTGTCGGCGTCACGCTGGAAGGGCTCGTCATCGGGTTAGAGTCAAGGGCGTGGTAGGCTTGTGGCACGCGTCCCGCAGCATGCAAATGTGAGATACTAGTATGTTCCACGAAACCGAACGCCGGTTCAACCGCTCGGGGTCTCCGTAAACGTTAGCGTGCGCGACCCAATGAAAAAGATCCCAATGACGCAGCAATGACAGGTGGCTGGCCTCCCGAGCTATCGCATCTTCAAGTCGGTCCCTAAGAACGTAGTGACTTGAGACGCCACCTTGTTGGGTGACGTGAAAGGAACACCTCACATTACGACCTCGTAAGCTCGGCATCCGATTGGTCATCGTCAAGCGGCGTTGTGCTAATTTCGACGCAGTTGAAACGACCGGTGTTATCGAGTGGATCTCAAACCGCTCCTCGTTGACGCGAGTCGTCGTGAACGTTGCAGCGCGTTCTCCATCTACCGAGGAGAAGCTCGGCATTAGCAAGCATGGGTCTATTATTGACCCATGGCAAGTAACCTCGATCTCTCGACTTGTCAACACCATGTATACACGAAGTGCGCTCTTTAAGCTTTATTTGGTAATAGGTGAAATTCGATACAGAAAAATCTCCTCGGGGTAGGGCACGAGGGTCGCATACCGGGCGTGGTCGAGCGAAACACAGTCGCAATGCAGCCCTTGCGCCTCGAGTTGCTGGATGAAGTCCGCTTCCATGGCCGCGTTCCGCGTCTCGTATGTCATTAACATGACGCTCTCTGGTGACGCAAGTAGCTGGCAGATCGTCCGCACCAGTAGCGGAAAGACACTGGCATTGTACAGAATGTCCGACGCGACGACGACGTCCGGCGACAGATTCGTCTCGGCCTCGCCCCACTGCAGCTCCAGCACGCGAGGACGGCGGTCGGCGCCAAAGTTGTACTCGACGTTCTTTTGCAGCAGCGGAAGACAGTACGCTTGGTCAGTGAGGACGACGTCGGTGACGCCGATGGCCGAGAGCGTCATGCCCACGAGGCCGACGCCGGCGCCGAGCTCGACGGCTTGCTGCCAGGGCTGCGCGTGGCGCTGTAGGTACTCGGCCAGCACGAGTGCAGCGTCCCAGACGCAATGGCCGTGCGATGCAACGGCGGGCTTCTCGGTCGTGCAGAGGCTACGATCTTGGATCGCCGTGAGGCGCTTGACGAGGTTGCCGACTCGGACAGTGTACTGGAACGCAGGCGCTGACTCGCGCTCCCAGAGCTCCATCTCGGCCACGTCGACAGCCGCCAGCGTCGGCGGAGGGACTTGCACCATGATCCAGAAATGGGTTGATTGGGTCGATACACGTACTTTATCCGGATAAAATACCGTTTTCCCGCAAAGTGCGAGGCGTAACCGCCAATCAACCGACTCTGCCACTTGTTGACATCGGGCAAGAGCCCACGGTGAACGCCACGAGAACGACCCAGTCTCGTGGATACAGTCGGTCATCTGCACGCCATCAGCTTTATCGCCACCTCGGCTAGTAGTATTTTGGTCGTCCGCAGGTAGACGCAGGGCTAACCGCGCCAGGCCATTGGTCAAAATTTGGCCAATAAAACACAATTGGGAAGGACTGTCGGTAGCGGTATGGACGCCGCGTGGACAAGTTGTCCTTGTTTCTTTCACGCACGAGCCTACATATATAGTTCCAAGAGTACACAACTCCGATTTGAGTTTATGTATTCTTGCTAGTTCGTAGCGGAGAGGTTGGAGCGACGAGTTTGCTCGAGTGGCGCCGACGATCGTTTACGCCCAGAAAGTGGCGAACTCCGGGCAAAGTCGATTTGCCATCGAGTCTCCTCGAGCGCAGTCCCATAGCGAACGTACTAGTAGCGGCACATCGGCAATATTTGGCAAGTGGCCTCCATCTCGTCGTAGCTCATGCGACCATGCTCAATGCTGGCTGCAACGTTGGCATAAGACCAATGCCACCGTCATCAAGTGCAGCTTACATTATCAAGGGGCAATTCAGAGGCAGTGGTCGCAACCCATCCATGCGCTGTCATGGCAGAACAGTGATCGTCCGAACGGCTTGCGGCGCGATTACACGGCGGAGGGCTGGAACGTACGGTACGACGCGACGGGCGTATCGGTCGCCGCTGGTGGCTTTTGAAAGTAAATCGTGGGGTCTTGATCGACCGTGATGCTCGTTGCGAGAAAGCCTTCGGGGTACCGAAGCCCGTACCCAAGCGAGCGCTCCCAGCCAATGTGCGCCATCCAGATAAGCCCCGCGTAGGCCACGCCGATGGGCGACGACGGCAGCACCGCGTAGATTGCGAGCACGATTAGCGGGCCCACGAGCGTATGCGAGAGGTTGTAGACGCTCGCGCCGAGCCAGTTGCCGCCGACATACGCGACCGAAAAGAGGTCGCCGGCGAAGAAGCCGCACGCAAAGACGATCCAGTTGCCCTGTAGCCGCGCGTAGCCCACGAGACATGCGATGAGGAGGAAGAGGCCTTCGAGCTGGAGCAGGACGCGGACCATGCCCGTGGCCGGCGGTGGGC